GTTGATCGTTTGTTTATGAATCCATGTTGTTCTAATACTATTTTGTTGTTCACTTTTGGGGACAATCTATTATATACACAGATTTCAAATGCCTTCGCAAAGTTTGACAATAATGTGATTGGCCTGTAGTTCGTTATGTCATTGAGTGAGCCATTTTTGAAAACTGGGCAAATTTTTGATGTTTTCCAATCGTCTGGAAATTTAGATGATCCTAGGGCAATATTAAATATGATTTGTAACGGTCTAGCCAAGACATATGCACATTCTTTAATGAAAAAACTTGGGATGTTATCGTACCCACAAGTAAATGCAATGTTATGAACACATTATTCACTTGTGTTCCTGACGAATTCATCGAAGTTACCAGTATCTGCTGTTATGAACAGTGTTTTTGAGTTATCCAGCCAAAAATTCCGCTCAAAAAATAATTCGTGTTTGGTGGAAGGATAATCGCATTCACCAAATATTTTGAAATATTGAAATGAAAATTTATTATTTTTTAGATTTTCAATTTTTCAAGTGAATGGTTCGATCTATCATCCAAGTTGGTCGGTGGTAAATTATTCGACGTTTCATGTATCTTCTGAATTGACTAAGAAAGCCGGTTTGATATATATAATACTGATGAGTTATCAAATCTTGTGAAAATAATACGCGCATTCACCAAAACTCCATATTTGAACAGAATAATACAAGTTTAGTATGTAATGTGTGTTCTAAGTGGATTGTTAGTATTTGTTATGAAATAATCTACATTATATCTTCAATATCTGTTCAATCAAAAAATTCGTTGTACCTCAGTGGATCACATATTCAGTGGAATTATACACATTCATTGTAAATATTATGTTAATTTGAATTCGAATGAACAACAATGCGCATTCAATGTCCACGATAGTTGTTCATCTATATAAAGACCTAAACATTTTGTTATATTTGTATATTTAATGGATTTGTTATTGAATCATATTGGGGTATTATTCAATATATCCGTTGTTCTTTTTGAGATGTACATATACGTTGATTTACTCTATAATTAAGAGTCAACTTATTGGTCGTTAGCCAAGATGATATTTGTTTCAAATCAGTTTTTATATCATTATTGAAATCGTTGAAATCTTTTAGTATAGTAGTATAGATTATTATTGTTGTATCATCTGCAAATAATTTTAGTTTTCCTGTCAATTTTAAAGTAGATATTGAGTTGATATAGATTAAAAATAAAATTGGCCCCAAAACTGATCCTTGCGGCACACCACAAAAAATAATGAACTAGAGTACCGTTGGAAATACTGTTGGAAAGGGAATTGAACACCTTTCGAAATAATCACACTTGACTCACTTTTCATATTTCTAATCATCTACCTCTCCTAGGAGGTTGAATCAGGAGTGCTGAAAATATGTATTTGAAGTATCCTCCTTGAGAATGAAATTGACATGTCTTCCTGATTCTTTACATCATTTACTGGAAGGAGGAAGGAAGATATTCAGGGTGGGAAGTTTTCTAATTCTGCTCAAAAGGGAATTATGAATTATGGAAAGTTTTCGAAATGTCAACCTGTATGTAAAAGATGAGATGACTGATGATATGCTCACCTGAAAAACTTTATCTTTGTATTTATCAGCTTTTTCGAAAAAATATTCCCCATAACCTCGACTATACTTCTGAAATACACTTTTTCCGCCTGAAATTATGTTCATTGTTCCTTCTGAACTGGATGAAGAAGTGTTAACCATCTGATTATATAGGATTTTATATAGTTTGAAAAGTGTGAACTTATGAATTATCTTCCAGGAAATGCATTGATCTTCATGCCATGATATTTCTAATTTGTGATAATGATATATTATTTAGTTTTTTAAATGTATTGGTTCGCGTGTCTGAAAGTACAATTCTCATTGGTGACAACTAATCCATGCTCGATATATAGATATGCTTCTCATTGATAACTATTATTAAGTAACATTCATTTTTCTTTGCACGAGAACTCTTGAGAAAATTATATTCGACGAGGAAATTTTTGAATGTGAATTTTCATATTTCGACCCCAACACAGGATTCATTTCAAAAAAATAATGCAAAAGTTCCAAATTCTCTATATGAGCTGTTTTTTGATACTTATTATCAAAGCATGCTTGACTCATATAAATTGCAAGTACCCTGTGATAGGAGAAAACAACAATCTGTGATTTTCATACACTATATAATCAACAACATTCAATACCACAAATGTTCATTAATCAATTCTATAAAACTAGTCGTTCCAAAAATTAAGCTTAGATCTAAATGTGACAAATTATTTAGTATTGAGTACCCATTTGAAAATCCTCTGAGCCAAATGTTAATGCTGTGTAATGATCTTTTCAAGGATAGGGATATTGACCTCTTCAATACAAATGTGAATGCTCTAAAGAGTCTAACAATGTAACCTCGTCCAATGTTTGTAATTTTTGACTGTCATCTATGTACATTTTTATAATGTGATGTCATTTGTAGCTGTGATACTTGTGCTAGACTTAAGGTTTTTTTCGAATGTCTTACATTTCAATTACTCTTCAGTGTTCTGTGAGACTTTAAATAAATTAATAAATAAATAAAATAAATGAATGCGCATTCTGAAGTTGATGAAACATACTTACTCATTCATTCATCCCTCTTCTCTTTTCTTGGAATAACCTAAATATTTCAATGTTTTCTACATGACTTCACACTAAGTGCATATTTTGTATTCCATTGGTAAAACTGGTGTCGGGTTTTGAATTCCATTGGAAAACTAGTTCACATAGTTTAGAGCTCAGTGCAACAATTCTCGCACGAGCTCTAATAGGTCGTGCGAAGTCAGTGCAGTTTGAGAATGGCGCAAAAATTGGATATGAATAGTTTGAAAACCAAATTGTTAGTGGCAATCTGATCATCATCATCAAATAGTGATGAAAGGAGATTACTTCCCAGAATTCATAATTTTGTTGAAAGTATTTTGCGAACTCAATGATGAAGAGGTATTTATTAAAAAATAAAGTGCTCAAAAATATTTCTATGAAACATTCACTTTGTTTTTAATTGATGTTTAGAAATAATTTCAGGATGCGGACAAGTCAACCAACTAATCCGATTAAACCTCCAACAATAACTTTATCATAATAAAGTGCTCAAAGAAACAAGTATGGACCACTGAAATATTTGACAATTCTCAAACTGCCATATCTTTTCAGAAAATGAATGGATTTTCAATCGGAATGCAGTGCTTGGAAGATGCGATCTCTCTGTTCAAGATTCCTTGTTTAAAACTCGTCAGGAGTTTTCTGTCATCATACACCAAGTGTTCGAAAGTCAAGAAACCTATTTATTACAAGGTTTTTTCATCGCGTAATCGGAAATCAATCGAAAAAGTCTTTTTTATTGCAATTTTACGCAATTAATATCACTGCAACATCCAATATAATGCCTCCTGTCGAACCTTCGACAACTGTCATCATCGGTTCGATTGCCTTATCTGAAAAATCACGAAATGAATTCGAGATATTGAGCAGAGCAATCGATCCAAATGAAGGATTTGTGTTTAGCATAGCATATGGTTATGGCAGCATCAAACTGAATAGACGATTTCACCAAATTCTGAACATTTCTCAAAAAAAGTTAATTATTCTCCTGTTAAAGTTGTCGTTGATTTCAACGCAATAGGTATGAATCCATTTTCTAGGATGTGTTCCATCGTATAGAGTGGCAAAATAAGTTGAATGTGGCTTGCATATTTTTAATATCAGAAATGATGTGATAAAAACCTAAAAATGAAAAATCATCGATTTTCAACATCCTGTATGAGGAATATGGAAAATTACAAAACCGTTTCGAGATATTGGCTTGAACGTTCGGAAAAAACGCTTGATAGAAAAATAAAAAAAAAAAACCCTGGAATACGGGAGCGTTTGAATTTTTTCATTTTTGTAATACTCTTTTCGAACACTTGGTGTATAATGACAGAAAAACTCCCGGCGAGTTTTGAACCTGGAATCTTGAACAGAAAGATCGCATCTTCCAAACACTGCATTCCGATTGAAAATCCATTCATTTTTCAAAAAGGTATGACAGTTTGAAAATTGTCGAAAATTTCAATGATCCACTTGTTTCTTTGAGCACTTTATTATTTCGTATTTCATTGGGAATGCACCAGTTCACATTTTGGAGAGAACCAAAGTTATGCGGTTGCAAAACTGGTGCAAAACCATCGCAGTGCACCACCAGATTTACGAATGAAATACACTATTATTTTATGAGTGAAAATTCAAATCAATTCATGCTCATCTATTAGACAAAGCTGTCATTGCTTGAAATTTGACATTCCATGAGCGATGAGATTTTTTGGAAATAATAACACAATGGAGTCATTGTGATATCTGATACGGAAATAAAATTGATGACATACAAAGTACCTACCTCATTGATGTATCGAACACAGTAAAACAAGAGCAATTTTGTGTTATAGCCGTAGAAAAAGTATGTTGATATACTCTCAACGCTCATTTTTGAACGTGATAAACTGCGATGATCCATGCACAAGCTCAATGAATTAAGTGGTGGTTAAGTGGTGTAATGAAGAAACTTTTTATACCACAAAGGAATCGAGTACTTTAGAGGTCACGTAGTTTCACTATGAATCTTCACTGAGACTTCGATCACACTTTACTAGTAGATGAATCAATGGTTTATGAATTACTTAGAGAAATATCCTATTAGAGGAGACTGCAACTACTTAGATAGGGAATTTCGCGAAATGAACTTGGATTGTAATGGTACTTCGCCATTAGCTTCTCAGTTGTGCAATAATAATTCAATTAGGTCGCAGCAATAGGATTTTGTCAACAAATTAATAAAGGAATATTTCCTGAACCAATGGTGATACTGATTCTTCGATCACAATATAACAAAACATTGTATCATGAAGGGAAAAGTGCTATAGGTAATAAAAGAATATACATGAAAACAATTTTTCATCAGTAGTTTATTTTCAAATAGTAGCCGAAGGTGAAGTTGTAATACTAGCTAGACTTGAAGTATAATGAATAGTTATATGGAGGTATTCTTCTCGAAGGGCATTCTTTCTCACATTTCCAATTGTGGTTCTAGGAAAGTGATCCAGAAATACGACTCTGGTCAAATGGATATTACTTGGACTTCTATCGCTGACAAACCTGTAAGAATCACATTCATATTTTTTAATTCAATATTTCAGAAATTTTTTTTTGTAATAAAATATTGACTGCCTTTAATTCCCCAAGAACACTAATTATTCTTCAACATTGGGATATATGAAACAGAAATTGTATATTGAAGTATGAGTAGATATTAAGGTCTTCAAAACACGCTCAACTTTTCGCTCGATAGCTTCATAGCGCAAATATCAAGTTTACTTAAAAAAAAGCTCTCGCTATTTATACAGAGTGTCCCGTGACTCGATGTCCATAACTTAACAGCACATTCCTTGAACAAATTCGAATACAAAATATACTTTATTGTCTTAAGTTCTCACTTGACAAAGCTTGTTGCACATTAGAGACATAAAAAATAAATAAATGATCATCCATCACTAATTTTAAAATCACACACTTGTGGACAACACTTGCAATGTATATAAATGAATAAATATGAATTGACCCAACAGACAAAATAGATTGTAAAATACACAACAATTTGAAAGACTCAGTTAAAGCTTTGCAGAAAATACTCAGTCAAGTTGCACAATGATGTTTGTAGTATATAGTAATGCTTTCACCTTACACGGAAAAAAAGGATTTGACGCATCAACAAATTTTTTATGCTTGAATTATTTTTGTTGGACGTCTCAAAATAACATCTTCATGCCAACATTTTCAAAACATCCCAAAACATCCCAGGTTGTGCTCGCTGGGTCGTCTTTCATTATGGTACCTTCTTCAAGAAATCAATACTCACTTTTGCAGAGCTTCTGCTCCAACTTCTTTGCCTTGCTTTTTTTTGACAACAGCGATGAGAACCCTCTCATCTCCGATCACCACGACATCCTTGACGGAAGGATGCGTCAGTATGATGTCTTCGACATCTATCGGACTGCAAGGACGACTGTCGATTTCGAGCAAGTCGCAGATTCTACCCTTGATGTACAGCCAACCGTCTTCGTCATACTTACCCAAATCGCCTGTCCTGAAAAAACCTTTCTCGAAACTGGACAGGGTGTTTTCTGGATCCTTGAAATATCTATAATACCATAATATAATAGGACTTAGAATGTATTTGTGCGTGGAGCCGTAGGAATAAACTATTTTTTCGTCGACCATCTACCAAAAATCACATTTTACGCTCTAATTTCCGAACCAAAAACCGCCTATTTCCGAAGGCAAGTACTTCTCGGCCGCAAGAGTAACCATACCTTTGAAGACATCCATTTCGATGCTTGGTATTACTATCAGCAATAGCCTCTCTTGGGAAAATCACGTGAGATCAGTTGCTAGAAGTGTATCCCAAAAACTTGGTTTTCTGTTTCGGATCAGGAGCTATTTCACTTCCAGTCAGCTGCTCATGATCTATAAGGCACAGATCCGACCTGTCCTAGGATACTGTTCCCATATTTGGAGTGCAGCACCCAAAAATGCCCTGAAACTATTGGATTCTGTCCAAAAAAGGGTAATTCGCCTCGTGGGTGATGCCTCGCTGACAAACTAACTCACTTCTCTAGAACACCATAGAAAAGTTCACGATCTGGCTCTATTTTATAGATATTTTGATGCACGATGCTCTTCTGAAATATCAACAATTGTTCCTCCCTTGGCAGTCCCCGCGAGATTAACCCGTCGTGTTGAGGCTTCGCACCCCTTCGTGGTCACGGAGATCTGCAGAACATCTCTTTCCAAAGACTCGATCATTCAACGAACAGCAAGGCTCTGGAAAACATTGCCAAGGGAGGTGTTTCCCGAGGCATATAACCTCCAGAAATTTAAGACAGAAATAAAGCACCTATGTTCAATTTTTCCTACTAGGTAGTTCAATTATTCGCAGATATTCGAATATCTACACAAATAAACAGTTTTATTCTTTCAAAAATCGGTTGACGAGGAAAAAAGTTATGACTGCAAAACCAAAAAGTAAATTTTTTGAAATCACTCTGTGAATAAAAGAGATAAGGAGACAATACGAAAACTGTCCCAAGATAATGAGATCATCTACATGTCTCTACTGTCAAAGTAGAAAAAAAAAGTTTTTCTCCATTTGGAATACTTGAAATTTCCGAAATTTTGCACAGTTTCAGGTAACACCTTGTAACCATTTTATGTGAAGAACCTTGTTTTAAAGAATTAAGAGATTATAGCTGGAGGACTGGACTAGCGAACAGTGTGATCCGAATTCAAATCGTTCAAAGCAGAAAAAAGTTATTCATATTTCAACAGAGGCAAAATTTTGGGGTGCGACGAATTTAGTGTTGCGTAGTTTAGTTCAATAACCACCATTTTGGCGATGCGATCATAAATTCAGTCGCCTATGGAGCACATTATCTCTCCAAGCACTGGAAAATAATACTAATACAATATGGTATACGTGCGGTATACGTGCAAGTCTAAAACACCTGAGGGAATTCGCACTAAATATTCCGAAAAGATCGGCCAGTTCCCCAGCGTTCTCAAGCGAAAAGGTGCATCCAGCTCAACCTCGACAGAAAATACAGAAACCGGGAAATCACTATCCTTAGCGACAGCCAAGTAGCGTTGAGCTCTTCGAACATCAACTCAAAGATGATTTGGGAATGCCTAGATGAACTCAAAAATGTAGGCGGGAACAACAATAAGATAATTCTCTGATTGCCGGGGCACATTGGAGTGGATAGGGAAAAGAACAAGTACACATTCTGGCATCAACGCCACTGATCGAACCAGCATCATCCTCGAAAATTCTCATTTTCAAGAAGAACTTGATGAAACTGAGAAACCAATGGCAGCAACACACTGGCGAAGACTTCCAAGACTGCATCAGGCCAAAGACCTCTTCGACCGGTAATTTCAACTGAACAAGATCTAAGACACTGATTAACTATCAACTTCAGCAAAATTAATCTCGATAGGCAATAACAGGATTTCCAACGGGGCATTGTCGACTAGAGAAGCTAGGCTTAGAGGAGGACAGCACCTGCAGATTATGCGGGGGATATCCAGAAACACCACACCTCATCTTGCTGGAGTGTTATGCTTCACATCTCAAAAGATCGAGTATACTGGGATCATACCATCTGACTATAGGAGAAATGCCACGAAGCAGAGATCCCTTCAAAATCCTCAAGTTCCTGAAAGAACTGAACCTTGAGATAGCAGGAGATGTGGCACAATAGATCTAATCTAGGTCGCAGCGTAATTGTCACTATATACAGTGTGTCCCACTTACCATGCTCACCATGGGTATCTTTTTAACGGTGAGAGATACGAGGTCGGTTAAATGACACCAAATGTGGAGTTTGTCGAGGCCAACTATAATGTGAAAAAATATTTTGATAAAATCTATTCGTTTTTGTTTCATACGCAAAAAACAGATTTTGATCATTTTCATGTCTCCTCCGTAACTTCTTTATTTATGAAAATATCCAAATAGGAATTTCACATTCTCATGGCAGTTTTTCAAAGTGATTTCGAAAAAAATATGGAATTTATACCAACTCTTCTAGAATTTGAGATATCATCACCAACTTTAGTTTTTCAAATGTAGGTCATAGCTCACTATGACTTAGTTACAAATAACTTTTTTTTCTCTTACAGATTATATGTCGCAGTAATAGTTTTGTGTTGATAACAACGGAGTTATCGTCATTTATACAAAAACAAAAAATTATTTGGAAGTCGCCATCTTGAATTTATAAATTTTAACAAAAAAATCATGATCTCCGACCTCAAAAACCCCCACTCACCAATTTTGAATGGAATCGAACCAATTCTTGTCCGCCATCTTGGAGCAGCCATTTTTTTAATTTCAACAAAAATTCCATAACTCCGATTAACTTGAAATTTGGCAGGTGTTCATAATTTCGGTGACAATACATTATGGAATGTTTGTTGAAATTTTAAAAATGGCTGCTTCAAGATGGCGGACAAGATTTGGTTCGATTCCATTCAAAATTGGTAAGTGGGGGTTTGTGAGGTCGGAGATCATGATTTTTTTGTTGAAATTCATAAATTCAAGATGGCGGCTTCCGAATAATTTTTTGTTTTTGTATAAATGACGATAACTCCGTTGTTATCAACACAAAACTATTACTGCGACATATCATCTGAAAGAGAAAAAAAAGTAATTTGTAACTAAGTCATAGTGAGCTATGACCTACATTCGAAAAACTAAAGTTGGTGATGATATCTCAAATTCTAGAAGAGTTAGAATAAATTCCATATTTTTTTCGAAATCACTTTGAAAAACTGCCATGAGAATGTGAAATTCCTATTTGAATATTTTCATGAATAAAGAAGTTACGGAGGAGACATGAAAATGATCAAAATCTGTTTTTTGCGTATAAAACAAAAACGAATAGATTTTATCAAAATATTTTTTCACATTATATAGTTGGCCTTGACAAACTCCACATTTGGTGTCATTTAACCGACCTCGTATCTCTCACAGTTAAAAAGATACCCATGGTGAGCATGGTAAGTGGGACACACTGTATGCACACTTACCCTAACATCTGTCCATCTCCGCTGTAGTATATTTCACCATATTTGTCAGGACCAAGATATTCTTTCGTCACGAAATCTACAATACGAATCTTGCAATTCAGGGACAAAGATCCTACAGACATTGGCTTGCTCAGTGAAGTATCGTAGGTCTTGATTTTGGTCGCTGCTATACAACCAGTTTCAGTCAAACAGTAGTTTTGCAGGAATTTCACATGAGGCATCAACGATCTCAGAGTTTTTATGTCGTATTTCGTGGTATTTACTGTTCCAATCATCACGCATTTCAGACACTTCAAGTCAAAGTCCTGCATTTTGAATGAAAAATACGATCAGAATCATTCTTGCAATGCGTTTCAGTCTTGAATCCTGAAGATGCTAACATGGTCAGCGAAACAGCGATTGTCAACGCGTTGAAAAAATCGGTATGGTTAATCGGTAATACATTGTAGTGTGAAAAACAGCGCTATGACAAATTGGTCCCTATTCGTATTTAGGTTTAAGTTGTCAGGATAGTCAACTACTTCAAATATCTCAGCAATTTTTCAAACAATGTATCTTCGAATGCCCCCCCACCCCATCAGATTCGAACCCACATGCCCAAAATATGATCTAAGCTCAATTGTGAAATTATACCTCACACTTCTAGAATCATACACGCATATTAATATATGTATGTATATTTTTGAACCATACTGTATCGCTTGTATATAGTACTGTATACCTACACTGAGGAAAATTCCTATTAACCATAGTCAGAAATCGAATTACCCCAGCAAGAAACTCTAATAGCATAGGGGACAAGCGAGTTATCACCTGTGATTATAAAGTCGACTCTGCTGATTATAACCCACCTGCGATTATTAGATATAGAACCTTACTGCGAGTGCATCTGTATATTGCTATTAGACGATGTTTCTGCAGTAGATATCTGACTTTGCTACCGCTAGTGAGTGCATCTAATAATGGGAGTAGGGCAATATGTTATAATCGTTAGGTAGGGAACTTTGGTAGTCTTGATGGGTGATCATATAGATAGTTGCATGACCTTCTTACTGTAGTTATTCAGTTATTTTCCAGGATTGTTGTCATCAAGAAAGGTGAAATTTCGACTGATATCCAGTTTCACTTCCCATAATTTCCACCCTGATGTTTGGTATGAACATCAATTTATTGATTCCTAAAGAAAATTTCGGACCAATGATCTTTGAAATTCAATAGATCAATTGATTCATGAACCCTCAGGAAAAACAAAAGGTTTTTGAGTAATTGATGAAAAAAAGACTTTTTCTGAAACTTTCTGCAACCGCTGTATTTCCAGAACTAGGGAAGTTATTACAGATGCGTACAGGAAAACCAGTAAAATCATTCAAATAATTTCATAACCTGGACATTTTTGCTCACAATAAGTTTTTAGACCACTTTCTACAGAGAAGCTCTGGAACATATTTGACAATTTCAAAGTTTCATGGTACTAAAAAGAAGGACATGTTGAATGTTAAATATTTGAATTTCAGTCGAAATACCTCGAAAAAACTCACCTATGTCATTCCATCAATCCTGGTAATAACTGAAGCACTCAGATCTACGAAAGCACTGAAAGGGATACAGGAGATTTTTTTATTTGTTTAAAAATGTTTCCATTTTATATTTGAATTCAGATTCAGATTTTGAATAATGAATTGAGGTCAAGAGGGGAAGTATTCGTAACTGTCGTGTCGTCGAGATTGTCGTCCTGTACATGGGTTTGCATCAAGAACCCAACTGTGAATGATTGATCGAGCAAGATGTCTGACAAATGCTTATATAGAGGGGGACAAATCACCATGATATCGAATAACGATAAGTAGGCGCTAAATAACCCCAAGTAGGTTCATCAAATATTATTTTCGTGGCAGACTGACAGTTGTATTATTGGTAGTGAGTGCAGTTCTATGCGATGAACCTCGCAGCCACAAGCATATTACTCACTAGTAGTAGTTCAGCTAGACAATTATAAAAAAAATCATGCTGTCCCAGAGTGGCTGCCTGATAGCGACAGCAGAGTATACCTTCCTGTGGCAGGAAATTCACTTTCAGCAAAGTCGTTATATTGCTATCATAGGATTTCAAGGTGCTGCTTCTATTCGAAAATGTATAACGGTAACATGATTTCTTGTAATGGTAGCAACAAATATCTCAGCAAAAACTCTAATAGCACAATTTTCCTCAGTGTACATTCCAGATACATTGACCTATAGTTCTCTAAAATAACGAATCTTCGATCAAAATGTATTGTACCTTTATAGCCACATCGGTCACTAATCTCATGGCAAGATCAGTCCCAAAGATGGCGTGCCCAATTTCGTAGTCATGTAAAATCTTACAAGCATTTCTTTCGGTGAAGGCACCTGGCAAAATCCTGGTAGTGTTAGCTTCAAACGATAGACAGATGAGCACAGTTTGCAGAAACCAAGATAGAGGAAAAAATGACAGAACTTTATCTGGAAAGTCGAAAATATCCTGGAAAACCATGGTTTGCACTAGAATGTTCTGGTGCGACAAGCATACAAGTTTCGGATCGCCAGTTGTTCCTTGGGAAGGTAAAATGAAAGCCACAGACTTCCTCGGGTCTTCGATGAACGTCGGCTTGAAAGACTCGTCTTCCTTGTGGTTCAGCATCTTGCTGAATTGAGATGCACCGGATCCTTCACTGCTGAAATTTACTATTTGAGCATTCAAACCCATAGTAGCTACTATCCTTTCAATCTGGCTGATCGTTCGCGAATCTCCAAAGCACATTTTCGGCTTCAGCTGCCTCATCAAAGTCATACATTCTCTGTAGCTGAACAGAGGGTCTAGAGGTGCCACTATGGCTCCTAAGAATAGAGTGGCTAGTACTACGATCGTCTGGTCAGCGTTACTTCTACTGGATATGACGACGATATCGTTCTCCACTATACCAAGACTTTTCATTTCTTGAGCTAACTTGATTCCTCTTGCTCGCACTGAACCTTTGGTTTCAGTTATCGAGGCTACCACGTCTACCTGCAATAGTTATTATAACGTCCCAATCAGCACCAGATATTCCATGAATATTCATAGAATATTTTTTTGGATATTGGGAATATTCATGAACATGCCAGGGATATACGACATATCTTCTAAGGAATATTACCTGAATGTGCTGTTGGGAAAGAATGTATTTATTCCTAAAATATTCACAAGGAATATTTCCTATATATTCAGAATGTACCTATAATATTCTAGAAATATTCAGATAATATTCGGAGTATTTCCGGGATAGTACAGGAATATGAATAAATGAATATTCCACTAAACATATTCATAATTGGAAAAAGCTGACACAAGATGGACTCGAACTCGTTACTTTCAGATTGTCAGAGCAACGCCTCAACCACTAGGCCAGTAATCGAGTTGAATGGCATGGTACAGTCGTCTCCAGAGAACATGTCGCACATGGACGGTGTCAGCTCTCTTTAATATACAAATCAGAATATCCAGTTGAGGATATTTCTGGAATATTTATACCTGAATATTCCCTGAACAATCCAACTAGAATATTCTTGGAATATTCATCTTTGAATACTAGAATATTCAAATTTGAATATTCCTTATTGGATATTCCAGAGGCACATATATATTCTAGGAATATTCGGTGGATATTCGGAATATACTCTTCTCTTTTAGCATATTTAGAGGATATTTTAGGAATATCCTGTGCTGTATGGGCTGCATGCTCCGAATTATGAAATCACCTGTGAAGCATTGTCGGTCGGATATTAAAACACCTTGTATATCTTATCGTTATATCTAATATCTATCTAGCTATTTCGAAACGAATTCAGAGATATAACCAAAATTTCATAATTTTTCTATTTACCTGTGATATTCTATCTAGATCGTTTCCTAATCTGTCATAGTATCTTTTACCAAGTCCTCCATATTCTTTGAAGAAAGAAATCTTACTCCCAACAAGTAGCTCTAGACTACTTTTCGTTTTGCTCCTTCCTATCTTACTAATTATACTATTCACAGTTGCTTTGCTCAGGTCACTACTTTTACTAGTTTGTGACGCATCTTTTGTTAGCAAACTCGGTTCTATATGTTCTATATGAGAAATAATATCTTGATGATTCTTCACTGAAATTTTTTTGTCCATGAGAAAATTTTTGAAAGGACGGTTATTTTCCATTCATGTAGTTTTTGGCACGTTTTTGGTAATGATTGAGGTTATGCCAATTGTCATTTTGATCTCGAACGTTGAAAGGAATATACAGTGTGCTCTTCCAATGATAAATTGCTACAAATTCAATATTCGACTAAATGCAACCGGTGAAGATTGGATTGGTTCGAAAATTTTTCGAGGTAGGTATTTAAATTTTTCCAAATTGCTCCTCTCCCGAGTTATGTAATGTTTATACAGTCATTCTTGTTCTCTAATGTTAACCTATTTTTCTGTGGGAAATTCAAGTTGAAGAATGATTGATTGGTTTGAAAATTTCATTTTTTGAGGTATTTTCAATCGTTTTTCCCAAACTGCTGATCTCCCGAGGTATCTAAGTCAATGTAATGATATCAATTCTTTTTCTATCATCTCAATCTATTTTTAACACCCTTTTATATTAGTTTCCCCTGTATGTATGTATTGTATGTAGGTATGTATGTATGTTACCGACTCCTTTGGACTCGATTTTCACCCACTTTTGATGGGACCGATTTATTTGACATTTGGCAGGTGTACATAATTCTGGTGGCAATGCATCATGTAATTTGTGTTAGACAAAAAACAAAATGGGGGCTCCAAAATGGCGGACGTGTTTTGTAATTATGATCCGATTCAATTCAAAATTGGTATCTAGGGGTTCTCGAGGTCGGAGATTATGATTCTTACGTCAAAATTTGTAAATTCAAGATGGCGAATCCAATATGGCGGATGAGAAGTTTTGTAATTATGATCCGAATCTATTCAAAATTCGTATCTAGGGGTTTTTGAGATCGGAGATAATGGTTCTTCCGTCAAAATCGGTGAATTCAAGATGGCGGATCCAATATATGGTGTACGAGTATTGTAATTATGATCCGAATCTGTTCAAAATTTGTATCGGGGGGTTGTCTGGATAAGAGATCATGATTCTTTCGACAAAATTTGAAAATTCAAGATGGCAGATCCAATATGACGGACGAATATAGTTTTGAAATTATCTAGAGGTTTTCGAGGTCGGAGATTATGATTCTTTTGTCAAAATTGGTAAATTCAAGATGACGGATCCAATATGGTGGACGAGTTTTGTAACTATATGATCCAATTCTATTCAAAAATGGTATGTAGGGGTTTTCGGGGTCGGAGATTATGATGCTTTCATCAAAATTCAATATGGCTGATACAATATGTCGAACGGGTTTTGTTATCATGATCCGATTCTAATAAAAATTATTATCTTGTACGTTTTTATTTCTTCGAATAACTTTTTACAATGCTGTTTATACTGTTTTTATTCTTCAATTACCCAATTAGAAGTGTTTTTCAGAAGGAATAAAAAGGATCAAAGGTATACTTGTATGATATATATTTTCGCACAAAAATATTTAATAACAAAAACTAAAACATACCATCACTGATACCAATAGGTACCAAAACAGCCAAAAATAAAATTAAATTCCTTAAAACTAACTTCCAGTCATTGGGTACAGCATATGGAAGTAATACTTTGGTAATATCATGCACCTCGTGCGAAGCACACACAAAAATATACGAAGAAACAATAAGGTTCAACACCGGATATCCTGGTATCAAAACCAAAACTCCATGAGTATCAGCTGCCAACCAAATATGGTACTGACTAATAAACAGTTCAAGATAAATCTCACCGAACCAGGCAAATAAGCTGGAATATCGTGTACGTAGCACTCCTGATATGTTTCTCAATAAAATATAACTCACTATTGGTATGAAAACGATATAGGAATGTATCTCGCTACATTCTAGTTCATTCCGGCAAAGAAACGTGAAAACTATGTACGATCCTATGCCTATAAGAGCTGCCAGCGTTGAGGTCAATGACACACCTCTCGAGAAGAGGTTAGAATGATTGTTATCATCGAAAACATTATATCTCTGTGCGAGTACCATTATAACACCAAAAGCCATACCGTACATCACGGAATATCTGTCTATTTTCCACCTAGACCACCACTCGTGTATGTCATCATCTGTAGTCACGAATAAAGCCTTCCAGGGCCTAGTAACAAAAACCTTCTCGAAAAATACTTCCGACATAAAAAGGATCGTTATGACACTGAACATACAAATGAACTTGATCAGCAAATAAAAGTACTGCATCACATTGTTTTCCGAGCTGGACGCTGTGATCTGCGGTGGGAATGCTACGAAGCAATAGATCATGAGATACCAAAAAGACAATAGTGGCGCGAAATAGTAAAACTGGTACGGTCGATTCATACAGAGACATAATGTGAAGGTCATGAAATTGAGTTGGAACAACATCCGGCAGAAACTCACTACACTCGTGTCATTCCTGTACCACACGTACCGAAACTGTTCATAACCTAGAAGAAATAGATAAGTCGACATCAAAACTTTGATGTGCATGTTGATTACTAATATTTTAGCAGCCCCAGTTACATGGTACACTAGAATCACCAGCTGCATGAAACCTTTCCACTCGTTCAGCTGGTCCCGGTGCAGGATCTTGTTGAATTTGCTTTCTTCCGTGAAAAACAGTCCTAGAACCGTGACGTAGCCTATGGGTAGCCAGAAACTGAACTCTGAGTAGTACTTGTTTTCTTTCATGAAGAAGTTGGTGCGATCACAGACGAAGAAATACGACATGATGACGGTCAGTTTGGAAATGGCTTTGAAGAGACTGTAATAGCTTGTTGTTAGGGATTGCTGCACTTGGTAGTCCGTTTCGGGTACCCTTTGATATTCATGGATGGGTTTTCCTTGGCAGTTCATGATCAGGCGCGTGATGATCATGAATACTGCGATGAACACGCTGAAAAAATAAATCGTTCCATTTATATGTACAGATGTACGTTATTTTTTATTGAGAAAAAACAAACGATGTGCGGAAGTAGAATGCCGAAATGAAGCCTTTCCCACAGCCGTCATCAAAATTTTTACTAAAAATTCACCGCGAGTAAGTAGGGACAGGCCGTAGCACAGTTGGCCTTATGTTGAAATATGATTGGAACTCCAGAAATATTACTTATTCAATAATTCATAAATTCTCAATTTTGCATTGGTTATATTCCTTATTAGAAATAAAAAATCAATTGTCTCGAAATATTCCCTCATCTGTTGTGGCTCATTGCTAATAATTTGTGTTAATAATAATATTATCATATCAATTCACTGTAGAGAACATTTGTGGACGGTGCCTTGTCAGTTCTCAGCATTCAGCACATTGTTGCCAAATCTTCAACATCAACATGATATTTTGTCATAGGGTATAAGATATATTTGGACATGCTGGTTGCTCGAAAAATTCAAGAATGGACTATAATATCATGGCTTCCTAATATTATTTTTTATCTTGTGTATAATTCAACGACAGAACTCTAACATATTTTTGTTAACTTGATTATAATTGGTGACTTGACAACCATATTGCTTCATGAGTGGAAATGAAAGATTATCTGACCTAGAGTCCCTTGATGCAAACTGACGTATTTGTCACATAACAGGGTACGGACAGATCATAGCTCCATTCTCTTTTAATCATCTAGTGACTTTGCTTTCGTGTATTGGCGTAACTGACATGACATTGCTGTCACGTCACATTCATAATTTGATACTTGATCTTAATACGACATTATTCGTTTCTGTTTTGGAAGGATGGTAAAATGTGCTGCGTTAGGCTGTATCAATCAGTTGATGGCAAATTTGAATTTGTCAGCTTTCCATCAAATGCAAATGAACTTAGAACATGGAAAGTGAAATGACCGAATGGGAAAAATTGGTAAATACATCAGCAAAATATTCGAGGTGAAACTAATACGAAATCACATATATTATACTTTCTCATTGTGCTTATAATTATCCACTCCACAAGTTTTTGAATACGTTTTAGTTGAAACAGTTTCGTCAGGAAATATTAAGTGTTCATGAAAAACTGCAAAAATTATTCCCAACATGAATATATTATACAGCATAGATGACATATGAGCACATTAGTTTGAATACCTACACGAAGTTTTTCACCATTTCTCAACCATGAGGCTTAGCAGGAAATCAAAATTCATTTATTGATAGGTACTGCCAAAGAACAGTCCCATTTGGTAAAATGTATTAAACTTTTGAGAAAAAATTGCTCACTGCCTCACAGATTATGCTGGGGTTGAAAAATCAAAAACTCGAAAATTATCATCATCATTTGGATATAATATGTAGAGTTGAATGAGAAATTCCATGTGGAAATGGGCTTTTATATCACAGAACATTTTTATTTCATAATTCGATAGAACTCACTCAAACTAGCTCACCACCGCAAACCGTTTCTTGCTGTGAGCTCCCTACGTTTTATAAAAAATTATTGAAATCCCCGATTTTTCGGACCTCTGAAAACGAGGCGATGATGTGACATCAAAACCTTAATACTGAAACAAGACTATTCCAAACAGAGATGAATGAAACATGATTTCTGACAGAGTGAATTAGCGCGAGATCACAGTTGAAAGAATCAATATAATATATCAGTTGCCTCAGTTTCCGTCGGGCGTTTGGTATTTTCTTTTAACTATGGCGAGATGAGGTTTCTACGTCATAAGAGGGTCCATTTTCAGAAGGTACTATTATTTATGTCCAAAAATAAAACATTCCATTTAATTTTTCGATCGAATTATGTCGTCAATCATTATTTATGTATAAAAGGATCATTTTAAACATGGTTTGAGTTAAAAGTTCTAATAAGGTGTACACGCCCATTACGTATGTTACGCCAATGTCCTCAATATAACCTAAAAAACAACAAATGTCAGAAATCTAGTGTTTATCCCCAGAAATGAATAAAGATGGAACTATATAACTGTTTCACAAACACTTTAGAGTGAGAGGAGACGAGGATCTGTTCGTACCCTGTTAAGATGACAAATACGTCAATTTACAATCTGACCAATAACGAAATGACGGTACGTTTGAAATGATCTCTGAAACCCAACAATTTTGAAAATAGATGCATAGACTCATTTTTTACATAAAAAAAGCGTGAGAAGTGGTGCAAAAATGAATTTAGGTCCCTAACAACACAGTGGAGTAATTGAATGCCAATAATTCATTATCAGTCCACTCGCCCATTCAACCGACCCTGTATCTCTTACGGATTACGAGATCCCAAAGATCAGGCTCGAATTCCAGCCACCCTGTACAGGGTGTCCCAAACTGGATGCGTTCTTATGGGAACACCCCTTATTTGAAGAGATGGAAAAAAATTAACCCAGGTGTCCGGAGCTTAAATTCAATAAGGAAACCACTGGCGCAAACGAGACTTTGCTATCTCTCATCGTTTGGCCGCCAGAGGGCTTTTCTCGAAATTCGTTGATTTCTTCAATGCCCCTTAACTTTCTTATTAATGAAGATAATTCATTTTGGTAAGAACATTCTCAAAGCACTTTTTTCCATAAAATCTATTGAGATGAGAAGTTTTTCTACAGGGCGTTCAGATTGCTGTGCACCATCCCAAACTCTGTTTTTTTAAATGGACCACCCTATATATTATGATATTTTTGAGAAGCTCGTAAAATTTCCTAAATTTTGGTGTATCACTCGTTATGTTTATCTCAGAAACCATCAGCAACATTACGATTTAAAAATTAAAATATTGTGCCTACAGAAATCAAGATTGCCCTGACTAATGAAATGACATAGGATGCTAACATGTTATAGTTGAAACAGAGATGAAACCACCGATCTAAAGTTTTTACGTAAAGAAGCAGTAGGCCGTGATCATGATTATTCTGTTTTCGTTGTTTGACAGCTTCTAAATAGTTGAGAATTGACAGTAGAACTCGATAATAATGTTTGATATTTTGGTATTTTCGGTAGAAAATAAGTATATTCATAAGGTTTTTGAATAGTTTTAAGGAATGTATGAAAATTACGAAAAGTTCAACATGCTTGAATGTTACATAGAAAGTGACAAAAATGCTCAGGCGGCAGAAAACTTGTATTTCCAAAGATATCCCGAACGACAGCAACCATCCAGGGATATATTTGCTAGACTTTCCCATAATCTCCAAAATTTTGGTTCTTTCAACAAACCCAGAGCAAGTTATGCTCGCAATCAAGAAATTCAAAATGAAAATGAAATAAAAACTATAACCGTATTGGGAACTTTATATCAAAATAATGGTAAAACTTCCACAAGAAATCTTGAAGCAGAGACTGGCATACCCAGAAGCACAATCCATCGGATTTTGAAAAAAAATAAATTCAAGCCCTATCGAACTCGCAAAATCCATCATCTTCTTCCTGGGGATTTGGATGAACCAGATTTCGCCATAAATTGTATTTGGACCGACGAAGCATCGATTAGTAGTGCGGGCATATTTAATCGATTTAATGATTACACTTGGTCTCAAGAAAATCCCCATGTGACTGTTCAAAACAGACAACAAGGAAGATTCAGTTTTAATGTGTGGGTAGGAATTTTCAGAGGACAATTCATTGGACCCTATATTCATGATGGACCGCTGAATTCTAGAGAATATTTGGATATTTTAAGGAACCAGGTTGAACCGTTCTTGGAAGATATTCCTATTAATCTGATACCCAGAGTAGTTTTCCAGCACGATGGTGCCCCTGCACATTATGCAAGGATTATCAACGATTACCTCAATGTCCAGTTCGGTGAGATGTGGATGGGAAACCAAGGGCCCATACAATGGCCTGCCCGGTCACCGGACCTGACGCCCATTGATTTTTTTCTTTGGGGTAGAATTAGAGACTTAACTTATAAAAATGATAATTTTAATAGCCGGGAAGAATTAGAAAGGGTGTTGCGAGGTGCGTTTAGCCGTGTTCTAAATATACAACTCATTAATGCAGTTAACGCTTTTACCAAAAGATGTAGAATTTGCCTTCAACAAAATGGGGGACAATTTGAACATTTGCTGACATAATTTCATTATGTTTGTGTTTATGTTTATTCAATATCGTTGATTAAGTTCCATATAATTTTATGTTAGGATTTAGTGTTAGTGTGATATTGTTGGTTTGTTGTTGTTGTCCTTTGTTATTTTAAATAATTATAAATTCATAATGATAACTATGAGTAATTTAATCATGGAACTTTAGATCTGTAGTTTTAATCATAACATGTTAGCATCCTATGTCATTTCATTAGTCAGGGCAATCTTGATTTCTGTAGGCACAATATTTATATTTTTAAATCGTAATGTTCCTGATAGTTTCTGAGATGAACATGACGAGTGATCAAAATTCAGGAAATTTTACGAGCTTCTCAAAAATATCATAATATATAGGGTGGTCCATTTAAAAAAACAGAGTTTGGGATGGTGCACAGCAATCTGAACGCCCTGTAGAAAAACTTCTCATCTCAATAGATTCTATGAAAAAAGTGCTTTGAGAATGTTTTTACCAAAATGAATTATCTTCATTAATAAGAAAGTTATGGGGCATTGAAGAAATCAACAAATTTCGAGAAAAGCCCTCTGTCGGCCAAACGATAAGAGATAGCAAAGTCTCGTTTGCGCCAGTGGTTTCCTTATTGAATTTAAGCTCCGGACACCTAGGTTAATTTTTTTCCATCTCTTCAAATAAGGGGTGTTCCCATAAGAACGCATCCAGTTTGGGACATCCTGTACATATTATATCAATTCTTTATTTCACCTTCCCCAATGTACCCACTTTCGATATCGAAACTTATTAGTCATAGATAATAAACTTGTTCGAAAATTTATCATTAGAAGAAGAATTCAACTGATTAGTCATTAGGGTGAATCAAGCAGTATATCAGTCTCGCACCAGATTTCGTCG